GGGAGCGCAGCACACACAGGCTGCAGCCGAGGGAGACCCGGCACGCCTGGCCCACCCTCTCGCTGCACCGATGAGGGAATGGGCCCAGAAGAGCCTGCATCACAACCCGGGACTCTGATTGCTAGGCAGATTTCTCTCTACATCACACTGCTGCCTTCTGTCACTGCTGGAGGCTGCATTTTTCTCCAAGGGGCTGAGGGGCAGGGGAGAGGATACCCCATCTCTCCGGGACTTGCAGACCAGCACAGAGAAATCCTCTCCAGGGTCACCACCCTTCCTCGGGTTCCAGGGTCTTCATCCGGGACCTGGGCGCTGCACTCCAGCTTAACCACGCCCAGAGCCACCCAGGAAATCTTTGCGGGGAGAGCCCCGGTATTGCATTTGCACTCTTCCAGCCGTTACTGAGAACCCAGGTGGGGAGTGGGACAAGGATGGGAAGGCTTGTCCTCAGCCAAGATCCCCTTGCTGCTGGGCTCGTGGTCCTGGAGGAGGGACAGGCCCAGCCCCACTCCCGGCCCCTCCCCCTGGCACCAGGCGGAGGCCGGGATGAGGTCAGCCCGCAGCTGCGAGAGCCAGGGGGGCCCTGAGCCCGGGCGGCCCAGGCAACTCCATTGTGGTTGGAAAGGAATGTCAGAAATGAGCTGAGAGGCAAATAAAAAACTTCCAAAGCTGTAATTTCAACGGAAAAACAGCAGGTGGCCCGTGTGGAGGGGTGCCTCTGGGTTTCAGAGAGAGTCTTTCATTCAGGAGATAGAGGGAAGGACGGGCTGGGGAAGGGTAAGGAGAGAGAAGGCTGGGGAGGTTCTCCCTGCCCAGAGCCTCTGCCCCTTGACCCCAAAACTGGAACTTCATGCCCCATCAGACCCCCAGGTTTACCCATGGAACATCAGACCCCAGAAGGATTTCAGAGACAAACCTTCCAGGCAGGGTTTTTGGTAAAGACTGGACACTGAGGTCCAAATGAGGCCTGTCTCAGGGCACACAGATCGTCCAGGCAAAACCTGGGCCCAGGGACCCTGGTACTCCAGGCACGCTCCCCTGGGATCACTCTGCCTCTCTGTGTCCCAGCAGGGCAAGCTCCCAAACTCTGCCCGTCTGCAGTCTCACAGGCACCCCAGTGACTGGAGGTGGCAGAAGGTACCAGGACACTTCTCCCTCAACCTCCCACTCAAATCTGATCTTCCCCAGTAGCCAGAGGAGATTCTAAAACACTAACCTGGTCACGTCACTCTCCAGCTTAACCCCGCTGGCTGCAGCATAAGGTGAAACTCCTTGGAGGACCCACAAGGCCGCCCGTGATCTACTCGCCTCTCTAGCCTCACCCAGCCATTCCATACTTCCTGGAGTTCCCCAGATGGTCCTCTCTTTCCTGTGTCTAGGCCTTTGCACGTGCTGTTTCCTTTACCTGGAACACTCTCCTGCTTCACTGGGTCACAGCTTGGACATCAGTTCCTCTAGGCTGCCTTCCCAGTGTCTATGCCTCCCAGACTCTGATCTCCTTGAACGCTCCTTGGTATTCAACCCAATGAGTACAAGGTCCTTGTATTCATCTTTGCATCACACACATGGTTCAGCACCTGCATATTGCAGGTAACTCAATAAATGCTGGAAATAATGTCCTGGATGGAGAGACTGACAGAGGCCCTGGAAGTGGCCTGTGGTGGATCTGGGCCTAGCAGGGCCATCCTGGGGCAAAGGGGCACGTGCTCAGAGGCTGGCCCTGCCTCTTCTGAACACTGGCCTCTGAGGGAAGCCTCACCACCACTGGTCTCAATGTTCGATGTTAGAGCTGACCTCCGGGGCCAGCCAAGCAGCCAGGGGGTGGGATGGAGCAGTAAACCACTGATGGTAGGTCTGGGCCATACCTGGCACCATGCTAAGTGCTCCACACACAACATCTCATTCAGTCCTCCCAACAGTGCTGAGGCAGGGATTAGTATTCCCATTTCACAGATGAGGCAAACGAAGCTCAGAGAGGTTTAGTAGTGAGCCAAAGGCCACACAGCAAAGGCACCTAAAGAATCAGAAGTTAGGCAGCTGAAGGAAGGGGGTAGGGAGAGACTGACTCACAACTCCAGTTCTCTTCCCTGCATCGACCCCCAGCCCAGCAAAGCCTTCCTTTCTGGGTCAGGCGCCTGAACCTCAGGCAAGGGCCATAACTCGTCCAAAGACACAGGGTGTGAACGAGGCCTCCTGAGCCTGGGTCTAGGACTGAGGCCACCTTGCCCCCAACCGGGGCTGCCATCACTGGGCTGCACTGCCCTCGCCCTCAGCCCTCCCCCATCCACAGCAGCTGAACACCCAGCCAGAAGAGGGGAGGGAGGATGCGGCCAGCATACCCACGCCAGGTTGACACTGAGATTCTGTCTCTTACGGCCTCAGTTTTCCCTCCTGAAAAATAGGCAGAACTACTCTGCCTAAAAGAAATTGAGGTTTTTACAAAAATATCTTGGGATATTAAAAAAACGGTCAAAGGAAAATCATTTAGCCCTGGGCTCTGTGACCCATCCCAGCTGCAAGTCCTGCCAAGGCCTCCCCGAGACCCACCCAATAACTCCCTGCCCCCACTATTACCATTACAGCCTCCTGGTGCCACTTGTGATAAAGGAAGGACCCCAGTTCTGCTCCTCCCCCACTTCCCCCCATAACTTTCTAGGCCTCCATCAGCTCCCTGAGCTGCAAGTAGAGACTTTTCTCCTTAAGGAGGCGACAGGACACAGCAGTGAAGAGCACTGGCTTTGGAGTCACAATGACCTGGGTATAAATCCCAGCTCTGTAGTCTTGGAGAAGATATGAGACCTTTCTGAGGTTCAGTTTCCTCATCTGTAAAGTGGGGATGATCACAGTGCCTCCCTCACAAGTCATTAGATGATCAGGATGTGATGGTGTAGATGCAGACCCTCGTACGTTTCTGGCATTGGAAGGTGCTTTGTAAATGGTAGCTGTTATTATTACCCACCCCTGGGTGATGACAGCATTCTCCACTGCTCCTCTCTGGGGCTCCCAAGATCCCCAGAAGGGAGGATCCACTGGAACAAGTCCCCTGTCCCACCATTTCCCCCACCCCTCACCACCCCCGGCCTAAGACATTCTAAGGAACAGTGGCTCGAGGACAAAGAGGCACCCGGGCTCCTCAGCCCCACCACAAACAGGGAGGACAGAAAAACTAGCCCCTCGGAGACCCATGGGATCCGGCTGGCAACCGGCTTCATTTTAAACTTCCAAATTACAGAGTCCTTCACCTGGAAGAAGTCTCCAGGGACCTAGCAGTGTATTCCCCTTCCTCCAGTTATCCAACTATTCCAGAAAAAGAGACTTGCTCTCATTGCTTAAAAATCCCCACAGCATCCCTAGACCAGGGATGGCAAATAGATATCCATTCCATCAGTTACTGATGACTGTTTGGGAGTGCTGTGTTGAGGAGGAGTCTGAGGTTGTCTCGAGTCAGCAGGAAAGAGCACAGTAGTCAGTTAGCACTGTCTGCCATGGGCTCGGGAGGGGAAGCATCAGTACACATTCCATGAGTTCGTCATTCCCACTCTGCATCTCCCTTCACATAAGCTCCCAGAAAGCAGAGGCTGGGCCTTCTTGAATTGTGTCCTGTTAGGTGTTCAGCACCTAGCCTAGAGTGGGAATTGAGTGAATGTTTACTCTTCCAATCCTTACATTTTGAAAGTTCTCCTTGGTATCTAGCTAAAATGTCTCTTGCTGCAACGGAAGCCTTCTCGGTGTAATAATATACTGAGGGGTCCAGCCAGGTTTCCCACTGTGTTTGTACTCAACCCAAGCCCGGATCCCCTTCCCCACTGCCCTGTGCTCTGAGAGGGGGTGGATTCTCACCGGGGAGGTGGTGTGGGGGGGGCCAGCGGGTAAGGCCTGTCAAACACGTGCATGTGGTAGGCCGGCGGGGAGTACACAGGTGGGGGCTCTTCATCGGAGCTATCAGGTTCCAAAGTCCTTTCCAAGATCTATAGCAGAGACAATAAAGAAAGAAATATTAACAATCCTTCCATGATTTCAGTAACATTCAGACAAAATCAAGCGTGGACAAGGAGGTGTGGTGGTGCGGGAACTCTGCGCTGCTGCTGGGAGTGTAAATTGATACAACCACCACTGTGCAAAAACGGTCTTGGCTTTGTATGCTAAAGCTAAATGCACGGCTACCTCTGACCCTATGATTCCAACACACACAACAGACGTGAAAGCACATGTCCCTAAAAGAATGTTTGGAGCAGCATTATCCACCCAAGTGAGGTTCCAAAACAAGCAAAACAAAGCATAGCGATGGAAGTCGGAGCCGTGTGACCTCTGCGGGGGTGGGGATGCTGAGGGGGGCACAAGGGGTCTCTAGGCTCTGTTGATGCTGTTTCTTGACCTGGGTGCTGGTGAAACTTCACTGAGCTGCACACTTGTGATGCGTGTACTCCTCTGCACACGTGTTATTTCTGATAAATAACTTGAACATCATTCATACCCTCTCTCAAAGTACTTTCACATCGATTATTTCACCTTAACCTCAAACAACTTGGCAAGGGAGGATATGGATCGTTACCCCCATTTTACAGATGAGGAAACTGAGGCCCAGGCTGACTAAGTGACACGGCAAAAGCCACACACTGTTTTTAGAACTGAGTCTTCAACTTGGACATGGTCTCGCAGCAAGGGTCCCTCCTTCAGGCAGGAGGCCTGCACACACAGATTGGATCCTCAGGGCGGACAGTGGCAGGGGAGTGCCCAGGATGCCTGTTCTCCCTCCTAGACTCCTCTCTTCATCCAGAAGCCAGAAGGAGGGGCAGGAAGAGGCCAAGGCTGGGCAAAGGCTGGGGTTCCTGCTACACAGACTGACCTGGACCCTTCCCCAGAGGACCACAGAGGAGTCTAGGGCAGAAGGCAGCCATCAACCAGGAGATCCGAGGTCACACACACCCCAACCAGCCTACATCTTAGCCTCCTGCTCCCCTCTCCTCTCCTCCCCAGCTCTGTTCCCACCTCCTCCAAGACCAAAGAACATGGGAAGGGCTCAGAGGCTGTCAGTCGGCCCCAAAGTCCCCAGGCCCCATGTTTTAACTCCAAGTGAGTTTGCAGAAGTCATTGCTAACCTGCTTCTGCTTCTGCCTCTGCAAGCCTGGGATGCGCCAGGCTGCACTGGCACATCTCTGCCCTGGGCCCAGCCACGCCCAGGTACCCAGAGTCTTGCAGGAACACTATGGCAGGTGGGCAGGCGGGGGAGTGAGCACACAAATGAGGGCACACAGGCTCTTGCATGCGTGCGCATACATACACACACACACACTGCCACACTCTGTGTACACACAGCCAGCCTGACCTAAGGAGGCCTCCCGCCCTGGAATGCACTAACGTTCTTTCCTTTGAGGAGGAAAGTATTTAAACAGATGCTTTTGCAGAAAAAGAAGAATGTAGCTGCTTTGCAGGCCACTGCTCTGTTTACCCCAATTTCCACAAGAAGAAAAAAAAGAGAACTCAAGATAAGCTCCACTCCTGTTCACTGGCGAACCTCTGGGGCCTGGCATGGGACAGCTGGGAGGGACAGGGTTCTAGGCTGGGGCCTGAGGTCAACTCCTGGAGGCTGAGCCTCTCCTCCCTCAGTAGCTGGCCTGGCCCGTCCCCACTGAGGTTGGTCTGAGTGAGTTGGAGGGGAGAGCTCAGTAGGAATTGTTTCCAGAAGGAAGCTGCTTGGGGTTCCCTACATCTGTGGCCTGTAGCAGTCGGCCCCCCAGACTCAAGGAAACCAGGCCTCCGAGGCCGCCCCAGGAAGCACCCCGCCTCGGCGGCTCCTGTTTCTCAGTGCCGCCTCCTTGGGCTGCAAGAACCAGACGTTCATCAGAGGCTCCTGGTGCAGAATGAGGAAACGCCAAGGCGCCAGGCGGCGGGCCAGGCATGCTCTGGAAAGGCTGAGCCTGAGTCTCCAGGGAGAGTAACCCCAGCTGTGCTTCTGGCCTCCCCCAGCCTCTCTCCCCCCGGCTCCATCAGCCACAATGAGGTTGCGCTTCTGGCTCGAAAGGTGCTAAAGTTTTCGGCTCTGCAGCCTCCTGGCTTAACTCAGTGTGGGTGATGGATGCCTGCCAGGTGCTCCGGGGGCCGGGGTCTGGGCCATTTATCTGACAGGAGATATTTCTCCGTGGCAAGGATACCCCTCGGGCCAGCCCACCATCCATCAGCCCCCAGAGAGGGGGCCTTTTCCAGTCAGCAGTTATTGTCATCCCGGCTGCTGCTCATAAATTTTCTGAAGCACTTTCCGCTGGCTCAGGCACTGCCTGCCGATGGGCCCAGGCAGAGCTCCAAAGGTGGGGGGTGGGGAACCAGCCAAGGAGGGGGGCTGGGAAGGGGCTCAATCCGGAGAGCAAGATTCTTAGGGAAACAGAAGCACACACAGCGCAGGCCCGTGTAGTGGATGGTGAAGGCTTGCGGACGTTCACAGGCTGTGGGTGCCGCGGACAAAGGAGGAAATATTATCTTACCTGCCAGACTGTCAGAACAAATGAGACTGTAGAGGGGGTCAGAGTTCGCAGAGAACTTTCCTTCCAGCTCACACTTAATGTATGTATCTGCAAACACACACACACACACACACACACACACCCGCTCCTTTTCATAAAGAGGATCTGGTTTTTCCAAAACTCCCTCCACTGGCTAATCCAGGCAGATCACAGAAGTGGTCTCCCAGGAAAAAGGACTAAAGAAAGCTGTGCCAAGACAGCAGCAACATTTATTCATTCAACAAACACTCCCTGAGTGCCTGCTATGTGCCAGGACTGTCCTGGGTGCTGCAAGTGACACAGGGATGAGTCAGATGTCACTCCCACAGAGCTGCTCCCCCAGCTGGAGAGAGAAAGCCCAGACAGCACCCACTAAGGGAGGAAGAGCAAGTGGGCTTGGACCTGTAGGCTGACCCTGACGGATGGAGAGTGGCTGCCTGCAGGGCTGTGTCAAGAAGGACTCTGAGGCCACATCTGGGTCTAGGTTTTCTCACTGTCAACGGGGGTAATAATAACGCCGCCTCGCAAAGTCCGCGAGGGTTAGAAAGAGATGATACATCTAAAGCATACAGGATGGTGCCTGGCACAGGCTGGGACTCAGTGAAGAGAGTTAAATCCCATCCACTGGGTCCGTCTGTCTTGTCCATGGCTGCACGTCCCAGATGCCCCTGCAGGCAGTGACCCTCTCACTGAAAGATGTGTCCCTTCTGCACCCAGCACTGCAGGTCCTGCAGAGACTAGGGGGCCAAATGTGTGCTGAACTCTTAGATGGGCCAGAGAGGACGGGCCATGCCCAGCAGGTGGGCCTGGATGCAGTGTGGGGGGGTGGTTCCCTTCTCCCCTAGCCACCTCTCTGGAGAAAGGAGAGAACTGCTCAGGTCTCGCTCACTACCGCCTCCATCATGCCGCAGCCAGAGGAATTTAACTAGCGAGTCTGACAGTCTCTCCTCTTCCGAGGCTCCCTGTGCCCTAGGGATACAGCCCCACCCTTTATGAGCAGCAGGGCCTTGTCAACCTCCGGGTCCCTACTCACTCTAAGATCCTGACAGATGCTCCTGCGGCCAGTTCCCTAACCACTCATGCTCTATTTCACCTCTGAGCCTTTGCACATGCTGTTCCCTCTGCTTGTACACCCTTCCCTTCATTCTTCACTCTTCCTTTGAGTCTCAGCCTAGCCATCTCTGCTGCTGCCATTTCTCCATCATAGCTCTTAGCACTCAGGACTGTCATTGCCTGACACTTGCCTCTAGTCCGCACTGGACTGTGGGCTCTGTGTGGGCAGAAACTGTGTCTGTCTTGGCCAAAGTGGACACCCAGAGGTTCAAGAGGAGCCTTTCTTGGAAAATACAGCGTAGAGGGCTCCAGCCTGGAACTGGGATTCAGTTCGCTGGGGTGAGGCCCAGGTGTCTACATTTTTAACAAGCTCCTTGATTCCAATGACCCCTGACCTAAAGTCTAGTACTGTGCCTGGCACACCACCGAGTAGGTGCTCAGTGTTTGTTGAATGACTGCATGACTTCTGCCCACAAAATAAGGCCACTGACTGACTTGGGTACGGTTTCTCTGGGAGAAATAAGGCTGCTTACTAGTTAGAATCCAGGCAAGGGTACAACCCAAGTTCTCTAAGAGGTTCAAATAGTGGTTGGAGCTCCTGGTGAATCATTGGGCGGCGCCCCTACCTCCGCGGGGATGCTGTCCTCCGAGTCGGAGCTGTCCTCGTAGACGCCGCCGCCCCCGGCCTCCAGGTTCATCTGCAGCAGCTGGTCGATGGTGGCGTCCACGGCGCCGCTGTTGGCGCGCAGCACGCACTCGATGATGTCGTAATCCATGTTGGGGAACATGGTCTTGAAGTCGTCCATGGCCTGGTTGAACTCGAGGCGGCGCACCTGGCGGGCGGGCCGGCTGTTGTTGAGCTCCTGCGAGGCGGCCGCGGCGCTGCCCTCGGCCCCGCGCGCCCCG